ATAATACTTAATATAAATAATACGTACTCTAGGGCTTGCTGTATGGGATAGTTTCTTGTGCTCATTTGGAATCTGTTGATAGCAGGAGCCGCACCATACATCGTCCACGGACTTCTCAGAGGTCAAAATAGTTAATTAACCTAAGATGACCCAGGTTAGCATTTTGTTTTTAGAAGCATACTGCCTAGCGTAATTTTTATCGCTTATTCAAATGCAAAACTCAGAGCAGTCTTGTATGATTTTGGTCACCATGACCTTCAAAAGGTCAAAAAAGGTCACCGACCTTAACTGAACATGTGACCTTTCCCCAAGAAACAGCTTTCTAGGTTCTGGGGTACTTAATAGACCAGCCTGGAATTTGACCTTGTTTGACCTTATTTGACCCGAAAGTCATGATCTAGAACCCTCAAACTTTCATCTCAGTGAGTTCACGTACAGGCCAATACACTCTGTGGATTTGGCGTCTCTAGCTCTTTTAGTTCCCGAGATCTCAGGGGGTTCAAAATGGTCCCTCACCCGAGCGAAGGGTATCTAACCGGCCAACCGGGCGCGTGATAAAAAAATGTATACAGAATTCATTTCATGGCAGCTTCTGGTTTCTGTTCTGGTTACAACGTAAAAATAACAATGAAACGAAGAAAACCGCATCCCTTGTGAACAATTAAATTTGTGTAGGGTATCACCATTTCGTCAACCTTTTGTTCCCCTTAGCAAGACTCTGGCTATACACAAAAGCAGATTAAGTCATCTTCGTTGAATGGCGGGCAAGTAAGTGTCCGTTGGGTCAATTGATGCCTCAAGTAGACAGCTTACTGGCGGCAGTTTTCTGGGGTGGTGTGGTGTAAGGGAAGGTAATTCGCAAAAAGGTACTTTTGCAGGTGTCCAACACATGTTTTACATCCTAATTAGTAGCAATGCTGACCCAGAAATGTGCAACAAAGCAGCCATACCATCAGTTCGCGGCCAGTCATTCGGAGACAGCCGGGCCAGAACAGTGGCCACCGACGGCGGACGGGGCAGGGCTCAGAGAAGGAATATATGGCAGAAGGGCCTTCATTCTGTGGCTTGGTTTCCAAAGAAGAATCTTCAGTTCTATCGCCCTTGTCGCATGGTTTTGGCAGTTTCAAGGTTCCGAATTTGTTTCCGCCTAAAATAGCGCGACAAGTCTTATCTCTTGAAAAGCAGCCAGCGAAATGAAGGCGCATCAAAATTTGTTGTACTGTGAGCTATTGATTCACTTTCAAAATTTTCACCAGCCCGTGCTCTGGCCATATTTTGGCATCTACCCTGTGGAGACAGATGTCTCCTCAATGTCCCAAAATGCCTACCCGCTCGTGGGATTTCGGCTCCCCAGGAAATGCAACGTTGAAATGGACCAATAATCTTGGAAAGCTAGATTTCCTGAATGACATAGATGATTCGCACAAGCAAGAGTGTGCACCAGTAAGAAATAGCTCTAGATGCATATCTAGAATAGCAGTCATTACATTTCAATAAATAGCCATAACCGCCATCTCTACCATTCCCCCTCCCCCCCCCCCCCGGTCATCGCACTTGTTTTCTAGAAAAAAATTGGTGAAGTGCGCCCTGAGCTTGCCCCCCCCCCTCACTTTTTGAAACGTTCCTACGCCTATGCTGTGGTGGACAGATGACGTTAAGAAAGTCATTGCCAGACGTCAACATGCTTTTCGCAGTTATCGCCGCAATCACGATATTCCACATTTACTCGCCCGCAATTCCGAGCGCGCTCGAACCAGGAAAATCATAAGGGCCACCAAACGTTGTTGCTGGCTAAACCTCCTACGACAAGTTACAGCAGTTACTCCGTTGAGTAAAAATTGGGGATTAGCTCATTCACTATCTGGCAAACGGCCTTCATTTTCACTCCCAGTTCTCAGTCAACAATGCTTTAATTACCGCACTACCGCAGATCATGAACACCCTTGCCCAAAGTAAGGCCCACTAGCTCATCAGATGAGTACAAGCTAGGATTCATCGATCAGGCACGGCTCAGTTTTTATTTGCCTCCGACCCGCTTCCTTTCTGATAATACAGAGACTTATAATGTGCCATTTTACCACAAGAGCTTCGAAATGCAGTTAAACCACCGGCAATACTTCACTCGGTCAGTATGACCTACCCTATTATTTTTTTCGTCTTTTACCTGACAGCATGCTTTAGCTCATTTTGACTCTTTTCAACGACCTGCGATCTTCCCATGTGTTTCCATACGCATGGAAGGGCGCCATAATCATCCCCCTTCCAAAACTAGGCAACGACACTCACGACCCAGCCAACTATCGTCCTATCGCACTGACCAGGTTCTTGGGAAAAATCATGGAACGCATGGTTTGAAAGTGCCTTGCCTGGTTAATAAATCATGATGAGCTGATATCGGATCGACAATGAGGATTAAGAGGAACCGTGCCACCTGCGACCATATAATACGCCTAGAAACAGACATTCGTCGCGCATTTCGTCAAAAACACCAAGGCACAACTGTATTCCTAGATATTATTCGCGCCTACGATGTGGTATATAAGCCGGCACCTATTTTAAAGCTTTATAAATTAGGTTTTAAGGGAAATTTAGCACAAAATCTCGTGAAAATTCTCTCGGGGACACGACCGTTTCATGTAAGGTGTCCATCGGCTGTTTCAGATGTTCACCTCCTAGAAAACGGATTTTCGCGAGGCAGCCGTATTTCCCCTGTTTTTCATCCTAACGATGATGATTTCTTTCAGAACTCCCGCTTGACATTTCCTCTTCACTTTTTGCTGATGACCGTGCAATCTGGGGTTCAGACACAGAATACGATCACTCGCTATCACGCCTCCAAAATGCATTGGATAAAATAGAACAATGGTCAAGACGTCATGGTTTCGAGTTTTCCTCTAGAAAATCGGCCGTTATGATTTTCAGCAAAAGACGAGATACACCGGCATATTTTGTTAATCTCGATGGTCACCACATTCCTTTTATTTCATCACTTAAAATTCTAGGCGTCTTTCTTGACCCACGATCATCAATGTGCAAACACGTCGAACATGTCCGAACCAAATGCACGAAACACTTGAATTCGTTCACATGCATTTCAGGATCAAGATACGGAGCTGACCGGCATACGCTATTGTTGTGATATAAATTTTTGTTTTTTCCAATAATTTGAATATGGCTCCGTAGGGTATGCAGGTGGTAGCAAAAATAATCTAAATCCCTAGCTGTCGTTCAAAATATGTTCTTGCGGCTCGCACAAGGGGCACTACGGACATCTCCAATTTCCGCACTCGAGGTATATACACGCGATAGGCCTTCCGCCCTCTAACGCATAGAATGCACCTTGAGGTACATCAAAAAGATTCGACAACATCCTGATCATCCAGCATTTGCTTCCATACACATATTGCCACGAAATCATCACGCATACGTGGGACCGACAGAGCGTCGCTCGGGCCTCACGATCGCGCCCCATGTGACCGTCTTTTGTCAGATCCACTGCGTTCTACCATGGGTCTCTGTTCCACCAGATTTATCATTGCCTCCCTGGCAGTTCACGCAACGGAAATTTTTGTTTCCGTTTACAGACCCTAAAAGCTCTGCGACAACTGCTCATTGTACAACAAAAATTCAAACGTATGGTGACATAATATCGAAATTGCCACTTTATTTATACCCATGGTTCTATGAATGAATGCCTCACTGGATGCGCCGTACTATGCCACACGCATTTTTCACAATAAGGCAGATTACCCAACCACACTTCTATTTACCTCGCGGAATTATTTGTTCTATTTCTGTCCTTGCAACGCATAGAACGACAATCTCATGAAACCACGACTCTGTATCAGTATCAGTCAGTATCAGCATCAGTATCTGTATCAGGAGTAGTAATCTGCCCCAATTCAAAGACGGCTTTGCAGTCACTTATTAAACCCGATCTAACGCACCACCTCCTCGTCAATATAATTAGCCAGCACCATCATTTACATACACGGGACGAAGTAACTAAATCTGTGTAGATTCCAGGCCACAATGGTATCACAGGGAATGAGCGGCCGACCAATTAGCAAAGGAAGCCTTGACGGACCCTCATATTGCATCCAGCCCTGTTGATCATGCCACTATGAAGACATCCACTCGGCAATTGACAAAACGACTGGCAACGTCAGTGGACAGAAGGCGATAGAGCCCATCTTCATGATATTAAACCAGATATTACACCTTGGACATCAGCAAACCGCACAAGCCGTTTGTAGGAAAAAGTCTTGACCCATCTTCGACTTGGACGCAAACGTCTCACTCGCAGTTATTTATATTTGCAGCAGCTACGCCCCCTTTGCCATCCAAGCGATCGGCCTATTATGGTGAAACACATTCCTCTTCAATGTGGCGAATGCGGACAACAAAATACTATGCAAGCCTATTTCCGTCAACACAGCCTGGAATTATCTTTAAAAACCCTGTTAGGTTATGATCATCCACTTCTTCTTGATATTCTGTTCCATTTTCTAAAACCTATTAACATACTTCAGATGATATGTATACTCGAAAATAACGCCTTTCATTAGCTTTTTTTCTTCAAAGCGTGTAATGGTCTGAACGGGCCAAAACGCCTTAAACCAAATAAACTGAAAGCGAAACAGCTGCTGATCATCCGTTCCTCCTATCCTTTATCTTGCTTTATCACACATCCTCGCGTCACCTTGATTGTCCTGGGCAAGTTGCATGCGTCAATCACCAATGGGCTGAGAGCCCCGTTGGAAGGGGGACCTCGAGCAGATGTCCAGCACCAAGAAAAGAGAGATTCTATGTTTACTTGTGTAGTTCCAACACCAAATTCCGGCACCGGTTCGCGGTGTACTGCATGGTAATCCGTCCCTTATATATATATATAAATTGCGCAGGAGAAACATGCCCCCATACTATGTTCTACACGTACGAATTGACATCCTACAGCGTTCAAAGATGCTCCTTTCAGAAACGCTGCCGTTTTCGTCCGCTTAGCGACTGCCATCTATACTGGCAAATGGACCGGCGCCGCGCGGCCCACGGAAACTGCAACGTCGGGCATCGGGGTTATAAGGCTTGGGAGCTCGCGCGGTCAAAGCTTTGCTACGTAATTCTTACACTTATCGGTTCTGAGCAAAAGTTGAATTTTCCCAGACGAGCATGGTCGCTGAGGAGCCAGCTCAATCTCAAGCTGAAGCCACGTTTTTTTTTACAATCAACGTGTTGCGCGTGACGTTGATATTATGCTCGTTTCAGTTGACATACATTCGAACTGAAGAAGCGAGCTTGAGTTGCTTTCCGTGAGTGGCATAATACCTTAGAACAGTGTCTCCCTGAATCACAGCTGGCTCGCAATGCGTGTTTGATGACGTGGGCGTGGAAAGATAACATCAAGAGCAGGGTATGTACTTCAGCGTTTTGGGGAAAGGTCGGCCAGCATTTTCTGGAATGATGCGTGAAAGACTGCTTATGTTTCGTTTAACATTAACTGAAATACATATAGTTTATCGATGAAATCTCTGGAATGTCGAGAATCTTCATATAAATGGGATGCTAGACATATTGTACCATAATTCCAGACATATTGTGGACACTATTCTTGTGAGTGCATAAATCTATACACCAAACAACTACAGAAGCACAGAATGATAAATTGTGCACAGATTTCACTTTTCAGTTCGCAAGACAGGCGCAATTGCACCCATCCAGGTTCACAAAACAATTACATTTATATGAAGCTGATGCGCCAGCCTTCCATGTTATTGCTGGACTGCGCACATGCGCTAATAAAAATATATGGCAAGCGTAGTCTACACACACACACACACATATATATATATATATATATATATATATATATATATGTGTGTGTGTAAACTACGCTTGCCATATATAACATACGTATATAATATATATATATATATATATATATATATATATATATATATATATATAGGATAGCGCAGTTTTTCGTACTTGTCTTCTTATTGCGACTTCCAAGACTTTGGCCCAAACCAATCATCTTGGGAAATTCGACACCCATGAAAGACACCCACGTTATCGGCAGGCGGCCGTGACAGCACCGTGTTCGTACCCATTATGTAGGCACACACTGTAGAGCTGACCGGGCGGCGAAAAATAAGCCATAGGAAAGATCTCACCGTATGCTGGATCTGCAGACCGACCAGCTGAGATGTGCTTCGCGTTTGCCGTATATTTCGCAAAACCATTAACAAAATGAGCATGTTTACGAACACTTTCACTGCAATATTATGTCGCGTGCTATGACGGCACGCATTGTGGTGAAGGAGGTGCACAGTGATGGTCATGAGTCGTACTCCCCCATTCGGCACATTGTGGTGGAAGCCCGTCGCGATTTATGAAGGATAGCGTTCCTCGCACGCGCCCAAGTAGATTTAAAAAGCCAGACGCCTCATTGCCGGTGGCCCACATCAAAGCCCTGCAGAGAACAAGATGAATAATTGGGCGACTGAATATGTAGCTGAACACACAAACAACAACCCCGCAACAAAATCAACCTTAAATGACCAATGTGTAAATATAAAATGCCCGTAAAGACCGTGAAATATCACAACTTCGAAAACACCACACCGTATTGAGATGATCACGGCACTAACAAAAAAAAAAAAACACCGTTGTAGCTTGCCGCAGATATCAGGCTGTGACTTACTGGCGGAACCAACGCAGCCAACATCAAATCACCGTTCCTCACATATTAGTATTGCGCAACGCTCCTGGTTGACCCGCGCAAGGCACACTGGTCAACACATGGGCCGGTCCGGTGCGTGCGTTCCGTGAGCCCGACAGCCAATCATCAGCCAAGACCTGGTCCGAGCCGGTCACCGACCTGCTCTCGTCGCCCCGATGGTCGAGCTGGGTCACACTGGCCGCCCAGCGGTGCTGACCACACCAGGGCAGCAGCGCCACCCACCTGCACAGCCGACTGGCCTCACCGGGCGCTGGGCCTCAGTCGCTGTCGAACGGGCACTTCCAGGGGGGCCGCTCGAGCCCCGCGCCCGGCCCGTCGCCAGCCGCGGCAGCCGGCCGGTGGCGCCCCCTGCGCTCCGGCTCCGGCCCCGGCAACGGACGCTTCGCGGCCGGCCTCCCGCCGTCGACGCGGTCGCCCCGGACGGCGCGGGGGCGCAGCGCCGGCGCCGTGCCGTCGCTGTCGTCGTCGACGGCGGCGTTGAGCAGGGCGGCGACGCGCCGTATGCTGCCGCCGACGGGCTCGACGCAGGGCACCACGCGCGCCGGCCGCAGGTAGCGCACCATCTCCTCCACCTGACGCAGCGACGCGTGGAACGAGTAGAGCACGCGGTAGTCCTGCGCGGCGCCCACCTGCAGCACCATGGTGTCTACCGACTGGTCGATAAAGAAGTAGAGGGTGGAGAGCTTGACGGTACGCAGCGAGCCCTCGCCGACCTCGAGCAGGCAGGAGGAGTAGGGCGGGCACGAGTGCACGCGTGTCTCATGTGGGCGCGGCGTCAGGCACGCCGCGATCTCCGGCAGGCGCTCGTACAGTGCGAGCTTATCCGGGCTCACGTGCACCGGCTGGCCGGTGGCCTCGCGCAGGCGGCTGAACACGTGCTCGTAGCCGTAGCGCGCGTGGCAGACGAGGTTGGCACGGTGGCGTGGGTCGCGCGCCAGCCATTCGCACACCAGTTGCACCACGCGGTCGGCGCTGCGCTGACGGTCGGGCAGGTCACGGCGGCCCGGCGTGCAGAAGGTCGTGTCAACGTACAGCAGGTCGAGCTGCTTGGGCCGGCCGGCGGCGTCGTGCAGCGGCGCCAGGCCGCGCAGCTCGGCGGCGCCCATCCGAAAGTCGCCCGTGTAGAGCACCGTGCCGCCGCCGGCCTCGAACAGCAGCATGACTGAGCCAGGACAGTGGCCGGCCGGCAGTAGCGTCACCAGCAGCCGGTCGGTCAGCTGGCGCGGCTCACCCACCTCCAGCGGGCAGAGATACGGCCGCAGCTGGCCGAAGTCGCGCCACGAGGCCAGCAGCGCCGCAGACTGGCGCGAGCAGAAGAGCCGCGGCTCGGGCAGCGCCTTCAGCGCCTCCTGCAACGCCCGCGACCGCAGGCCCCTCATGTGGTCTGTGTGCAGGTGGCTGAGGAAGAAGAAGCTTGCCTCCAAGCACTTGCCCATGAAGAGGTCCACAGCCACCTCAGGGTAGCCCTCAATCAGGCCTGGGAAACTGCTCATGGTGGCAGCACTGTCTGTAACACAGAGGTGGTCACACCACAGATGCCAGTGGGTACTTACAACAGAGCACAGTGTATGATCAGGTTAAATGTGGAACACATTCATCCAACCTGTTCACCAACCAACCATCCAACCATCCAACCTGTTCACAGCTTAGGATCCTTAAGGCTAAGCTTTAGATGCTGACATTCATCTGCCCCTTCAGCTCAGTCAGTTAGAGCACCTGTCTCCCATCCTGCTGTCAGAGGGGTGGATAAGTTCAAGTCACTTTGGTACTCTCTATTTGCCATTGCTTTGGGTGGTCTGTGGCTGATGGGAACAACTATGGTCTGATGGGGTCAGAGGGTGAGGCAGGCCATACTGACCATTGGGTGCATTCAGAATTCTGCAGTGACAATGAACTTTATCATCCTGTGGCAGGGTCAGATCTCATGTGACATCCATGCTTAACATAAGCCTTGATCCTAGAAATTCATCCAGTCAAAATATTAAGACTAAACTGATTTTAAGAATGACCATAAGCTGCTTCCTTGTACCTCACTTTGCCAATCAGGCAAGTACTTGGGATGTGCATTGCCTTGTAGAGAACAGGCAAGCCCTCTGGCCTACAGCAAACTAACAGAACAAAACTCAAATGTTTATGCCTCAAATATCCATCAATAAATGTGCCACAACTGCAAAAAACTGACCTTCATAATGTGCTTCCACAGAAAATGGGCATGGGATTGCATGATGGCAATGTGGCCTTGGTCCTGACTTTGGGAGTAACAATTTTGGAGTAAAATTGAGAAAACACAAAACTAGCCCTGAATTTTAAAAAGTTCTCAAAGCCAACATCTCATACTTCACATCCCTATGCAAACCACAGACTCTCATTTTTAAATCATCATCTATTCATTTTCACATAAATTCAGTTCTAACATTTCAAAGTTGTTGTAATGCAGGTGCCCATACAATTTGCTCATCACAGTGCTAAAATGAAGCACATGTAGTACACATCAATTTTAACATGGTCACATCTGCCACACTTCCTATGTGTAGGGACTTTCCTAAGACAACATTTGTGTCAGTGTTTGCACACACTGGCAAGTGCCAGACACTGGCAATCTGTCACACAGCAAGGGAGAGAGGGTTCATAGTGCTCTCATACTGGACTAGAGCAGTATTATTGATTCTACTGGATATTACAGAATATGGTGCCCAGGAAAGCTACTTTGGTATAAATGTTATTGACACTGTCATGGGCAGTGCCATGTAGAGTCAAACAGCAGTAATTAGTAACAAGACTGGCAGATAGCCAAATGGATATAAATAGTATGCTACAGAAACAATTGTTTAAAGCACTAGAGCAAACCAACATCCATAGCTCACTGAGCATTTGTGCAGCTTATTAATATGCTAGCACAGCATGGGGCACCATCAATTGGGACTGGACTCACTTGTAAAAGATCTACCTGCTATCCACTAGCATGTGATGACTACGCCCAGGGCCTAAGCCAAAGCAGTTTCAAATGATGCTCAAGCTCATGAGCCGAGGGAAGTTGATGGCAGAAAAACCACAATATGGTGAACTTCATAAGCACTTACGTCTTTAAAGGTTATGTTCCTCCTCCTGATCGATCTCCAACAATCTCACGCACGTTCCGACCAATGCCCTAGTTAAGGCTGATCCATCACAGCAATAGAACGCTGCCGTAGCAGATCGTAAGGCCATACCCATCACACCTACACCCACATCCCTCGTCATAATCCCAAAACAAACGAGCCTATCTGCTTCGTTGGCCCAAGGTCCACTGGTCGACGAACCATGGCCTCAAG